ATGAGGTGTGGTTTGGGAATGGACATTGGCAATTCTGCAGAATAGGTTATAACGTGAATTGTGGCTGGGAAAGAACATCAATGAATGTGGAGAACTCTGATGGCCAGGTAGGAGAGTTGTTGGTGAGCATGGTCTATGAAGTCTCCATCATAAAGGGACAATTTTAGTTTTGACTCTGCTTATTAGCTGGGTGGCCTTGGCCATGAAGTTTTGTGACCCTTTGCTTTATATATCTGAATAGTGGAGATAGGTTGCTTTGTGGAATGAATTAAGATGGAAAGAGAAAGCCTAAATGATGCAGGTGCTCATAATACGTGTTTCATTTCATATGCAAAAAGAACAACAAAAAAGTTTTGCAGAGCAAACTTTTGAGCAAAAGAATGATGTTACTGTTGCTTTGAAACAATTACTTCCGCTAGATTGGAGGGTGGTAAAGGCCCAAGGACAGTCCACCTGTAACTAGAGTGGTTGTAAGAGTCCAAGTAATTCAACAGAGATCTGAACTAGAGCAGTGCCCGTAGTATTTGAAATAAATAGCTGAGCAAGGGAAGCATTGCAAACATAAAGTCAACAGAATGTTCCAAACGGGAAATATTGTTACTAGGGATAACAGTTGTTTCATGAATGGAAATAAGTTTGGAGTTTCTGTTGCTTTGGGAATGGGGCAACATAAAATTGAAGTTTGAAATTGGAGGGTGCCTATTGGACTCTGAGTAGTTGGAGGTGTGGGACAGGAACTAGAGAGACTTTGAGGCGAGAGAGAGATTGGGAGGGGGTGTGAATGGGGTTTGTGGGAAAGGATGAATGAAAGTAGAGTACTGAATCAGGGAGTTGACATGTGTTTACCTGTATCATATGAGAGAAGGAATGGGAGCCAGGGAGCACAGTGGATGGAAAGGATGATTCTTTGTGCATGTTAAGTGAGGATACATTTCAAGAGAAGAAATAGGTCAATGTTTTAAAATTCTGTAAAACTCAAGGATGATGGGGACAAAGAAAGGCTTCTGGGTTTTGGGATTTACTTGTCACTGGAGACCTGTGACAAAGTAGTTTTAGTAGTAGTTTAAAATGTTGAAAAGGCCGGAAAGGAGATAAAGATGGTGAATGACTCCTTGAAGGAAAGAGGAAGAGGAAGACAGAAAGTGGTCCAGTGGGTTTATAGCAGGATTCCTCAACACCAGCACTACTGGCAGTTTGGACCTGACAATTTTTTGTTATAGGGAGTTGTTCACCCTCCATCCCAGTGGCGGCGACCAAAGATGTCTCTAGACATTGTCATGTCCCCTGTGGGTCAGATTCCTTAGGTCTACAGGATGAATGAGGAGTGCTGCTGCTGGTGGATCACCTTTGCTGCCATGACTGCTCTGTCTACCGAGGTGTGGGAAAGGAGCTAGTCCAGAGTAAGTGGAAAACTACAGGCAGCCAGGAGATGATGACTGCAGCAGGGACCTGAGGAGAGGAGGAGGAAACAGAGCAAAACCATTGTCTAGAAGAGGTACCTTGGAGTTAGAGAGGGTGGGGAGAGGCATTTTTTAGTAGGTGAAGATTGTTTTAGCTTATGTTAGATGGCCTCGAGCTTCTCACGAAGAAGAATGAAATAGGCAAGGTTAATGTTTGATATTGGAGGAAATTGTATAAAGTTTAAGTAACCCCTGTGGGGATGGATTAGTATACTGGTGAGTAAAAGCAGTATGAGCAGCAATGAGCCTGGCTGAATTAGGGACTTTTGAAACAATTATTTAAAACATTGTTAAAATCTTGGGGAAAAAGAAAACCTATAACTCAGCCACCCTGACGCTAATTTTATTTGTGCATTTTACTGTGTAGACTTGTCTACATTTTATACCCTTTTAATTTTACTTAAATTCCACAGAACTTTATAGATATCACTGTTATTGAGCTGTCATTTCAGTTATTTTTTAATGGCTACATAATTCTTTAGTTTATCAAATAGTGCTCTGGTTACTGACTGGTTGTTTCCAGTTTTTAATGCTATTATACCTAAAGTTGCAGTAAATATCCTTGCGCATAGAACTTTGCTGTATTTGATTAGTGGGCTCAGTAAAGGTCTTATATAGTGTTAACACAGAGTAGGAAATGTATTTGCTTAAATGTCACTTTAATGAGGCCTTCCTTTGACCCACCACATTTAAAATTGCAACCTGGATCCCTGCTTTATCTCCGTAGTGCTTGCTATAGCTTCTAGTTTTTCTTACTTACCTTGATTGCTGTGGTCTTCCTTTCTCAACAGGACAGAGATTTGGGGTTGTATCACTAGCACCTTGAATAATGCCTGGCACATAAATATTTGCTTGAATGAATGAGTGCTTGGGTTTACCCAGATCAGTAGGCAAAATGGGTTTGAAAAAGTGTCAGTAGCAACAGATATTCATGGAAGTCAGTGGAAAACTAATTGCAATGATTAGTCTTTCGTATCTAAAGGGACTAGTAAGCAACAAAAATCCATAGGGACCATGAATTGAGAGATTTAAGAGTTAGCACCTGGAGGTAATTGTGACAACAAAAGCACATTCCTCTGGAAGGAGCGCATGGGAGAGGTGGTAGGTAAATAAGTTGTGGTTAGAGAAGGTGATTTCCCAAGGTTAAGATATTAGAAATAGGACAGTTTGAGAATTAATAGAGGCAAGGTTAGGATACTCCATTTTGCTGGGAATAGACTATGTCACTTTTTACTCACCCCTGCCTTGGCAAGCAGTCCCCTCTAAGCTAGTTTATTTGGGTCACACTGAATGATGGTGTACAAATCAGGTTTTGTCTTCAGAGGTCTTTTTTGTTGTTGTTGGAATCTGGCTACGTGTGGTAGTCTGATTAAGCAGATGTACCAATAATGTCTGCCAGACAGTAAGGCATTTTAGTGATGATGTCAACCCAAGCTTGAAAACTGAATTTAAGAGAAGCTGTCTTCCCCTTATTTTATTTCTTGAGTCATTCCATTGAACTTTTAAGTGACTGTCTTATAGGTGCTTTTCTATTTGAGGTCATTTTACATATACAAAGTAGAGCAGCTTGGTGAATACATAAACCATCTAGTATAGCATATGTTGCTCTTTATTTTAAGCAACTTTCGAGGAGTCACTCTTGAGTATGGAAATTTCAGTAGTATTTTTTTTTGGAGCACCCTTAATTTTTACCCTCAACCAGTATATGATTTTTCCCTGTCTTACAGTTTTTCCACAAGAGCATGTATTTAGTTTTAAATTTTAAATTATTCTCGGGTGAATTGTTAATGGCAGATAGGTATGATTTAGTAGAAATATCCCTGGAGATCTTCAATTTCAAAAGGTGATAATGGTCTCAAATATAGCCTTTCTCCTAGAATCTCAGGGATACTTTTTCAGTCTACTGAAAGGTGTTAATGTTGTAAGGAAAGGAAAAATAAAATTACAGATAAGGAAGAAAGGGTTGATGGAAAGCATAATCTATTACTGTGCCTGATCTTTGAGCTACTAGGCATCAGATCAGAATGGCCTTGAGGATCATTTTCAGTGTTTTTAAAGCTTTCAGAAGGAACAGGATTTTCTGATAAAAGTAGAAAGTATAAAATGATTAAGAAGGAAAGCTAAGAATTCTTTTTGAACAAATGAGAGAGTAGAAAGAGGAGGAACGGGCAATATTAGTGTGCAACTTCTCCATGCCAAATACTGTAGGTATAGTTTTTCATGTGCATGTTCTCCTAACACTGCTTGAATTGTAATATTCTTAAAATAACTTAGGCCATATGCTAATTGCAATTTATTATAATGGGTAGAACCAGTTACTTCAACCCAGAAAGAAGCCCAGAAAAGTTAAGAAATTTGTCTAGCATCACATAGCTAGGAAATAAAGTTTTGTATTCAGAAAACCCTGACTCTGCATTATACCATATGTCAAACAAGAAAGGGCAGTGGCACCAAGGATTCAAGCTTCAGAAATTTATATTTGTGTTGAATGCAAAAGAGACTGCTTAACACTTGGAATATGTGCCCAAGTTCAGTAATCGAATGATATGAGACTGTGTGGTATACCATTATGTGTCTTATGCCTGTTTATTTTATGCTCCAAGATTCCTTCATCTGGTATATATAAATAACAGCACAGATTATGTATTGTACAGACAGCATGGGCATGGGTGTGCCTTCTAGGAGCAAGGGTGATATTAGAGATGCTATGACCTTTAGAGAAGAAATCTACTTGCCTTATTTAAGTCATTTGGCTTATAATAGTGGAAAGTTCATTAGAGAGAGAACCACATAAAGAGAGATTTACTGTTTGAGGCCTGGCCCAAAAGTGCTTTGTTGTATACCTATACTCTTGTCAGATGTATTTGTGTATGATATATGTTTATAATGATATAAGCTGAGCAAAGTTGTTTGTTTTTTAAATTTAAAAATTTTTTACTTGAAGTTCTTGGAAGCAGCGCTTCATTTAAAATAGAATTTGAAAATTATATTGACAAGTATTGTATAATATGACATTTTTGTCATTTATTTCTCTGTGTAGTTGACTTTAGGAATTTTGAGAGTGTTTCCTTCATCTGTTGTTAAAAAAATTGGAGTGCTCTTGCAAGAGTTAGAATCACTGGTTCTACCCATTAAAATCAACTGCAATTGGTATATGGCCTAAGTTATTTTAAGAAGAACTCTTAATACGCCTTGTTTTTATTGAAAACAAGGCTAAAGCCATCTTCTGAACTTCCTTATTATTTGATTGTTAGCATAATATTTTTAGATCTCAGACATCTCTTTATCTTGATCAAAAGAACATCCTTAGGAAGGAATCTGCAGTTTTCATTGAACCATTTGTGATCTTGTGAAGAGGATGGAGCAGTTAGTTATATGCCTTAATCATGGGCAAGTATATATACCAAACTTTTGCTGTAGAGTCTCAAAGAGCAGTGAAGTTAGAAATATTACATAGCACTTAAAAGGTTAGGCCTATGTTTTTGGGAGGCAATATATATATCTATACACATATATTAATTAGAGATTGCTTGTTTGCAGGGAGAATGCTGGAGAACCAGACTCCTGGAGCAGTTTATCCTACGAAATACCTTATGGAGACTGTTCTGTGAGGCATCATCGAGAGTTGGACATCTATACATTAACCTCTGAATCTGAATCACTTCATGAACCCCCATTTCCTGGAGACAGTTGCACTGGACATATTTTTAAACTTATGAACATTCAACAGCAACTAATGGTAAGGAAGAAAGTTTCTTTTCATTTTTAGGTGTGTGTATGTGTGTCCCTGCCCTCCTCCAGTGAACCTTGATATAATTAGAATATAAAAATGCTTTCCCCAAAGATTGTAAACCTGCAAGACAATATTAGCAGTATTAGATATTACCACTTAACAGATCAGAACTAACATTAGGGTTGTAGCAACAGGGGGACAGGGGGTAGATTTATTTCCTTGGTTTTTACCAGGTTTTTGAAACAGTGAAAGATGCTCATGTACACACATTGCAGATACAGAAATATGCAACAAGTTAGAACTAAATTTTCCTGACATAAAAGGAAATTTGTCTGTGTTTGGTTCAACTTTACAAAATGAAATGAGCAAAGCAATTTCTGTGATTGTTGCTAAAGAACAAGAACCAACTTTACCCAGAAATAAAGTCTTTTTGCAACTATGTTAGTGAGTGATGATAGTGTTGCTATTTTAAATCAATATTTATATGGTAAAAAGATCACTAAAAAAATTAAAATGTTATAATCCACTCAAGTCTTCAAGATAAAGTTGTTGCCAGACTAAAAACATTACAGACTCCCTGGTAGCATTTATTATGGATAATATAAACGTCATATGGGTACATCACTCTTGGCCATAACATCTGAAAGGCTAAGTTTAGATAATTTTTCCACCCAGTTTAGTTCAGAGCTGATTTGATTTGGAAACAGCTTGATAATAATTTCATTTAAGGTCATCTAGGGTCAGCTGAATGCCAGAGGCTTCTTTGAGAGCAGTCATTATTTTTGAGACCAGCAAGCCAATAGACTTCTTAGTAGGGTTGTGTGATGCTCCTGCCTTTGAGAATCATGTCTTTTCCAGAGCATGTCACATTTTATTTTCCTCTGAATGGACTGCTAGGAAGGTCATATTTTCACTGTGAACTTTTCTACTAGGTAAATGACAGTCCACTTGAGAATATCAGTTCGCAGGTACTAAAGCTATCTGCAAGGTATGGGAATGGTTGGCAAGAAGACATGATAAATTAGAACTTTGAGAGCACGCATGTGTTATGAGCTTTTTAATTCTTCAAGTAGCATTTGTTTCTGTTTTGTAATGTTCATCCTTCATTAGATTTAATGACGTATTTTCCTAATTTTTAGGAGACTGTCACACTCTCAGTCGGAATGGAACCAAGCTAATTTTGAATACTCTTAAGAAACATAGCACAAGGCCAGATGTAGTGGTTCATGCCTATAATCCCAGCACTTTGGGAGGCCGAAGTGAGAGGATTGTCTGAGCTCATGGGTTCGAGACCAGCCTGGGCAACTTGGCGAGACCATATCTCTTTAATCAAAAAATTAGCGGGGTATGGTGGCACGTGCCTGTAGTACCAGCTACTTGGAAGGCTGAGGTGGAAGGATCACCTGAGCCCAGCAGGTTGAGGCTACAGTGACTTGGGCATGCCACACACTCCAGCCTGGGTGACAGAGTAAGAGTCTAACTCAAAAAAAAAAGGGTAGCACAGAGGCTTTTAGTGAAAGTTCATTTTGCCTCTATTCTCCCAACAGAGGGATTTTTAGCAAGCAAAACACACATATGCATAAACTCTGACAATAGACTCAGTAGAGAGATAGGAACAGTCTCATGATGGAGTGCTATAAGTACTCAATATATTCACTGAGAGAGTTAAGTGAATGAGAGAATAGACAGCAGTAGACTTGCATGAGATTATTTCAGTAGATTAGATAACAAGTGGGTAAACCAGATGTTTCATAAATAGTTTTTATGTACTGAGAAAATAGTATTATAAACATTCCTAGAATTTTGATATAAAATTTTCACTAAAATTTACTACAGATCCTCCTATATTTGTTTTTCTCTATTTTTTGTAAGCTTTCTTTACATGTATATAGGATTTTTGTATAATTATAACCTTAGATTAACTGTAGGTTATTTTTTTCAACATTGTGGTTATACATTTTTTCTGATTGTAGTATGGTCTTCATAGTTAATATTTATAGAACAGCATTGTATTTCTTTTATTGGTTTTAGGAATCATGATTATCTTAGCCATTCCTATGCTGTGGGTTGTATCTGTTTACATTTTAAAAAATACTTTAAAATTGCAAAAATTATTTTTGAGATGACCTGTGATATCCATGGTACATTCTGACAGAAATAAAAAGTTAGGTATTGTTATATGCTCTCATTTATTTCATATTTGGTATTGGAAAACAGAGGAACTGCTTTTATTAAAAAGTGAAGAAACATCTACCATGCCACTATTCCTGAAATCATACGAACCCAAAACAATTAACTTAGGTGGAGAATATTTGGAGAATTTAAGGAACTTCTCAGTATTTAGGGAACAAGATCATCTGGCTGCACTTTGTATTTTAAAAGAGTTTACCAAAGTGGTTAGGCTTTGTTTGGGTTTTTTCTTGTATATATGAAGCAGGATAGAAGTAGGCTCTGCTCCTCTAAAGATCCTAGTTTTTGGTTTTGTTTGTTTTGTTTTGTTTTGTTTTGAGTTGAAGTCTCACTCTGTTGCCCAGGCTGGAGTGCAGTGGCACACTCACGGCCATCGCAGCCTTGACCTACTGGAATCAGGCGATCCTTCCACCTCAGCCTTTCAAATAGCTGGACCTACAGGCATGCCTAGCTATTGTTTTTTATTTATTGTAGAGTTGAGGTCTCGCCAAGTTGCCCGGGCTGGTCTCGAACCCATGGACTTGGGCAATCCTCTCACCTCTGCCTCCCAAAGTGCTGGAATTACAGGTGTGAACCACCACACCTGGCCTAAAGACCTTGTTTAAAAATTTCAATCTTAGCTGCTCATTTGAAGATACTCACTGTGCTTTTTAAAAATAAGATTTTTGAGGCTCATTTCTAATCTACTTTTCAAAATAAATTCAAGATATAGAAAACAGTAATTTGGATTATCTGGACTACTTTTAACATCCTAGTGGATATGCAGATATGAGAAAGGAAAGTAATATCAGGAATAAGAGAAAAATTAATTGTGTTCTTTTGGATCAGCTTACCATATGTTACCTTACAAGATCTGGAATGACAGTGAGCTCTATCCAAAGGACTTTTCTTATGTGTGTCAGTGACACATTTTCCCATGGACAGGTTTCTGAAAGTATCTTTCCTTTCCTCCTAGAAAACAAACCTCAAGCAGATGGACAGTCTTACACCCTTAATGGTGACAGCACAGGATTCCTCCAGTCCTCCCAGTGCCCCAGAAACAAATATCCAGTTTCTAACCTGTGCTTCAGAGTCCATAGCCAGCCAGCAGCTTTCTTCTGAAGAGACCGAGAGCATTCCGGGCTGCCAGGGGAGCCTTGTTGGGCAGATTGAAAGTTCCTGTGATTTATCAAGCATGATTGAGGAAGAGAATACAGACAGTTCCTGTAAGAAGAAAAATAAAGGCATGGAAAGAAAAGGGGAATGGGTGCAGCCAGCACCTATTGTGAACTCTGATACTGTGGCTGATCAAGACAGCTGCTTTCGGAACATGCCTGACTGTGGAGTAAAGGGCACAGAAGGCCTTTCATCCTGTGGAAACAGCAGTGGAGAAACTGGAACAAAATCTTCTGGAATGCCCATAGACTGGGAGTCTCTGAACAGAGGAGATAGTGAGCTACAGAGAGACATGGTCACGGAACCAGGCACGGCCCAGCATTCCTCTGGAGGTGAATTGGCAGGCATTTCAACAACAGATACCAGTACCCTAGATACTGTAGGGGAAAGAGAACATGGTCTCTTGAACTTAGATGCCACTTTCCAGAGCAGTGTGCCTCAAGTAGGGGAAAGTACCAAGGAAAGTTTTGAGAATTCGAATCTCAGCACTGCGGGATCCTCCGACGTTCAAGTCACAAGTAAGCCTGAGGATAAAGCCAGCATTCCAAACTCTGTCTCTACCACCAGTTCCCTGGGTGGTAACAAACCTGCAGAGTCTTTGGTAGCATTTAGCAGTGGAGGAATCTCCACTGAAAAAGAAGCAGAAACAGAAACTTCAAGAAGCTGTGAAGAGAGTGCTGAGACTCCAGTAGATCAGAATTCCGTGGTAATTCCAGCTTCTGCAAATGACAAGATTTCAGATGAATTAGAACTGAGCACTTCCTTAGCAGGCATATGTGAGGCATTGTCACCTTCAGATTTAACCTTTCCTGGGCTAGAAAAAGATGTAATTCCGGACCAGAAATCAGAAACAAATTCATCTCATACTCAAAGCCAAACAAGCAAATTACTTATTTGCTCTGCAACTGGAGACAATAAACTTTGCACTGACTCTGCATGTCAACAGAACACAGTGACTTCTAGTGGTGAGTGGGTTGCAAAACAGTGCGATGACATAGCCAGCCAGCCTGAAAGCTTAAAGATAGGGCAGCCGAACTCACAAGACCCACCTACTGCTGTCAGCTGTGAAGACTCACAGACTAACACAGTCACCTCTCACCCTGGAAGGAATACCCAGGAACATGTGGATTTTTGTTCTTTTGAAGTTGTGGATAAAGAGGACCAAGAAAAAGAGTTGAAACTAGACAAACCTTTAACAAATATGCTGGAGGTGGTTTCACATGCACGTCTGGTTGTCCCTAAAACTGAGAAAGAACTGGTGCCAAACCAGGCAGCAATATCAGACAGCACTTTCTTTCTGGCAAATAATCCAGGCAGTGAATCAGTAACCAAAGATGACGTACTTTCCTTTGTCCCCTCCCAGAAAAAAAAGGGAACAGCAACTCCTGAACTACATATGGCTACAGATTATAGAGATGGTCCAGACGGAGATTCGAATGATCCCGATACACAGCCACTAGAAGACAGCACAGCGGACCTGTCCACGTCCTCCCCTGTGGTAGAGCTTCAGGTCAGCATGGGTAATATCAGTCCCACAGGACTTGGTGGGGAATATGAGAGTCCTGGCTCCTCAGCAAGCCCTGAAGTTCTGAATATCAAGGGGACCACTGACTTGTCCCTACTAAGTGTGAGTAAGTTCACTTTGGCCTCCAGTTCCGTTTTGACTAGAGAAGGGAAAAATGTGGGGATTCCAGAAAGCTCTGCAGCTCAAGAACAAGATGACAGAGATAAAACAGAGACTTGTTCCTTCATTAAGGAAGACAATCTTTCTTCAGGAACGTTGCAGGAAGAGCAGAGAACACCACCTCCTGGACAAGAGACACCCGGATTCTATGAAAAACCTATCTCAGCTGCTTGTGCTAAGGACAAAGCGCTTCAGCACAATAATTTACCGGGTACACCCTCCGCCTGTCTTAAGGCAGAAACTAAACATAACAAGGAAGTGGCCCCACAAGTCTCACTGCTGACTGAAGGTGGGGCTGCACAGAGCCTGATGCCACCAGGAGCAAGTGTGACTGCAGACTCAAGGCAGGAAGCCTTGAGTGCAGAGCAAAACAGCTCAACTCTGTTGCCAGAGGGGTCTGAGGCTCTTAATGGCAACCAACCTTTTGCTCTGGATATTAGAGTGAAGAACACCCAATCCCAGAGAAAAACCAGTGCCAGTGAGGTGAGTGGAAATGTAACGGTGGATGTTGCAGTGGTTGATGCTCTACGATGTACTGCTGAGCCCAGAAGAAAGGATATATCACATAACACCCAAGACATTCTGAGTCCACACATTTTGTTGAGTCAGGAGAAGAATGTGATCCTGGGTTTGCCGGGAGCTTTACCAGACAAAGGTGCAGGTGACCTACAGGGAGCTGCAACCCCACAGATGGTACCTCTCCATTGGGAGGAAAAGGAGCTGGAAGGAGCAGACCACAGTTGCACCATGGATGACTCCAAGGAAGCACAAATGGGCAGTGAAGCACTTCCTGTCCTACTGCAACCTATTGCCAAGGAACTTCCCACAGAGACAGGGCTCTCAGCTGGTGATGACAGGGCCCCAGCTGATGTGAGGGAAGTCATGCAAGCCTTGGCCCCAGGCAAGGAAAGGAGTGTTCCTTGTCTTCCCTGCCGGGTCTCTGCCCAAGCTGCACCTCTGTCTAAGGGAGTAGACTTCATAGAAGTAGCTGCGAGCCACATAGTGGATGCTGTCATCGAGCGAGTCAAGGCATCAGGAGCACTTTTTACTGAGGGAGATATCAGTCACATATCACTGTCCAGTCCTGAGTTGGGCCCTGTGACCAAGGGGCTAGAGAGTGCTTCTGCAAAGCAAGTGAATGCTTTTCCACCTGGGGAGAACCTGCCAATGGGCAATATTCCAGAAGAAGCCACAGGGAACCTTGCAGGATGTTTTGGTGGAAGGGAGGAGCCAGAGAAGATTATTCTGCCTGTTCAAGGGCCTGAGCCGGCAGCAGGTAAGCAAAGCAGAATACAAAATTAAGTTTGAAAAGCATATTCCCTTAAGAGTCTCTGTGGTGTGCTGGTAAAAATACAGGCATCTTTGTTGTTTTGAGATCTTGCATTCATTGGGTAGGTTGCCAGGTTAATAGTCATCACCATCAGGAGAGACACATCATCTCAGAGTTGGACAGATTTTTGCTTCCTATATTGTACACTTGCAACTTGGTTGCTTAAGCTTATAAACACTGTCTACTTTCCAAACCTGGAAGAAAATGCTTAGATCACAGGTGCTCCAGAATGATGAAGGAATTTGCAGTTATTTTTATTCACATGACTGTCCTTTTCTCTAGTACCATAGAAGACAGTGCTGAAAAGTATGTTTTTTTTACAGGCGTGACATGCCCTTCATCCTAGTCTGTATTCTGAGCAAATTTAGAGTCAGAGTGTTTTCATGAATAGCTCTAAGTATTGTTCAAAGTTGATGGCCCAACATCCAAAAGATATTGGGTCGTTGATTGGGGGCAGGGTGGGGGATCTCCTCCTTTTCCCACTTGAGGAGAAGACCTCCAATTCCATTGCCTGTTGCTTTTGGGCAACAGTCCGGGAATTCAGGACCCTGCACAGCGCCGGGGATAGGATGCAGGATTTCCGCCCAAGCCCAGTCTGCTGAGCTGCTGTCACAGGGCAGACCTTGTGTCTGCTTATCTTGGTGAAGCAGCTGCACCAAGCAGATTGCTCACACAGCAGCTTGTTCCGTCTATGGGTAACCATGTCTAGAGACAGCAAAGAGAAACCGCTATTACTCAGTGGAAATAAACTGTCTGAATAAAACTTCTTATTGTGGGTTGAGGCTGAAGCTGAAGCTGGAGTCAGGCACGATCTTGACTCTTGAAGTCTTTAAAGGTCAGTTTGATGCACACTTTTTTACCACCACCTGTTAACAGCTGTAGACAGAGGACCTGTCTCCATGCTTTCCCCAAGGCTTTCGTAGGTAAGAAGTAGCCTTTTTTTGGCCTTTATTATTTGATTTGTTCTACTGTTCTTTTTAATTTTTGAAAATCCCTTTATATGTACTATGTGTTAAGAGTGTGGGGGTGGGGCATGGGGAGAAATGAACAAGCAGAACAAAAGAAGTTATTTAAGAAGAAGTGCAGTTTAAACACAGTGGCCATTTTCCCTAGTAAAGGGCTTTGGCACTTAGAATATTTTTTTTTCCTCTGGTTGAGGGATTTAAAGAACCTGAGTTAGAATTTTTGTTGACTTCAGGCTTCTAATTTTATTAATGTTTTAGATTGCTAGTGATAGATATTTGTTGGCTGATATGAGACAATCTCTAATTTTCAAAATAAGGCACAACAACAAGTCTATTTTGGGGGCCCTGGCAGGTTGGCATTTCAGAAGAATGGGAGTGGCTGTAAGCTGATGCCTGGCTGTGTTCTTTTCATTTGGGTGCTGTGTCCCTGGCCACATGGGCTGGAATTATTTCTCTTTCTGGCTCAGTGGTCAGAATTTAACCCAAGCAAGTATGAGCTATGTGGGGTTTGTGTCTATAGTACTCTTTGAGAAAAGGTTAAAAAAGGAAGATAATTTTAGACTTTGATTTTTTTTTTTTTTAGAAAGCAAGATTTATTAAGAAGACAGAAAAGCTCCCATAGTGGGAGGGGACCTGAAGGGGTTGCCCAGGACTTTGATTTTTATTTTTATGTAAATGTAATAAAAACGCGAAGGAATGATGTTTAAGATTTTAAAGTTTTAAGAAGGAAGTCTCCACAGTGCATGTGAGTGTGGGTTTGGGACTGGTAAATTTTGTGTAGGCGAGTAACTTGTTCTGCTACCCAAAGGAGTCATAATAGGCTCAGTACTCATGGTCTCAAACTATGGAGAAAAGTAGCCAGTAAATGAAGAAATCGGTGCTTTTTTTTTTTTTTTTTTCCCCAGAAAATAGCCAGGACTGGGTAAAGTCCCTGATCATGTTGCCCTAGAGAAAAAGCACCTGAGTATGATCTCAGAACCAAAGGGTATTTTCTAGCAAGTTTACATTCCCTTCATGGACTTAATCATACTGTTTTATGAGTGAGGAGAGACAAGTTTTAACTACTGATTTGGAAGGAGCCAGTTAGAAAGAAGGGGATATAGCCCTTCACTCATTGACCACAGTGCTTAGGAAGTTAGTGGTGTGTAACCCAGCCACGCCAGGCCTGCAGAGGCTGCCAACACCCCTCAAGTCTCAGCAATCACTGTTTACCAGTATGCCTGGTTGCTATGCCAAGATACATAGTTTCAGTTGATAGGTATAGGAAAGTAAGGTTGTACCAATGATCACATCCACAAACGAATAAAATAAAAAACACCAACAGTCCCTTTCCCCCCAGAAACTACTCTGGCTCACTTAGAAATGTTTTGATCAAGGGATGGTTCTAAGGGGATTGCTTAGTCAGATTTTTTTTTTAAACTTTAATTTTATGAAATGTAACATAGATTTTGGTTCTCTGGGCAAGAAAGATTGTTTACCCATTTTTAAATTGCTAGTAAGATTATATAATTATAAGGGCAAGGAAAGAAGAACGAGGTTTATAAATGTTCGTGTGTAAGAATATAACTTTTCTAAATTTAAAGTAGACCGTTGTACATGTCATATGCTGCTAGAATAAAATATTAACATAATTTATTCTTTAATGAAAGAAACTTCTCTGCTCTTCGGCATGGGGAGCGCTTTTCTCTGCCAAGTAGGGGCATCACTAGATTAATAAAGACTACAAAAAATTTTCCACATGCAATTAAGATGACCGTTCCATTTGTATTTGGGTTATTAAGGTGAATTTTGACTGCTCAGTCATCAGTCCCCTTTAAAGTGTCATAATCCTAAATTTGCCTCAGACATCATTTTTATCACTTTCTTCCTGTATTTGCTTGACCATATGCTGGTCAAGTAACAAAAGCCACCACTGTTGAGGATGGTCAGCAATAGGACAGCTATGTAATTCTAGCGAAAACATGCATAAAAATTTTTTCTTAAGAAAAAGAATTGCTAGTTTGTGATTATGTTTTCATTTTGAAAGAAATAAGAGCTAAAAATTTAAAAAATCGCTTGCTAGAATACTTCAGTTGTACTGATTGCAGTGGTGGGTGGATTAGGGTGTCTAGTATGTTTTTAGAAAAAGTCAGAGTTGTCCTGGAGGTTTCGTCTCATTCTCAGTGACTTTCTCCTTTTTGTCTAGTACAAATTTCTCTTGCCTTTTTGATGATGGCCAAGATGGACCACCTAGCTTCAGCTGTTACCTGTTTCCCTAGAGCTTATGAATTGAGTTTTCCATATGCAAGTCAGCACCACACTCAGATTTGTCATAAAAAGTCGGTAGTGAAAGTGCACATTCAGTGGACATTGAACTGGATCTTCACTTAGCTCCAAACCCATACAAAGGCTAGGGGAAAACCAGACAGCTATGTGATAAAGGAATAGCTCAGCATGGGGTCAGAAATGGCACTAGCTCCTGACAGCAAAAGAATATTTTTCCATTTAATACAAAAGTGAAAACAAAACACATGAAACCTGGAGCGTGTTGTGTAAACAGTAAGGCACAGAAATCAACTTTTTAAATATACTCTGTAACCTCCTTTTCAGAAATGCCAGACACAAAAGCTGAAGATGAAGTGGATTTTCTGAGTAATGCCAGAGCGAGTTCAGTTTCTGAAGAGGTGGCTGTAGGGAGTGTAGCTACTACACCCAAGATTGAGCAAAGCCCAAAGATCCAGGAGGTAAGTGGCATCAGTAAGTCTGTATGAGCCCAAAATGTGTTTATATCTTGGTCTGCTCTGTCTGATTTATGACCTTGTCTTTTGTTTTGTGGGCAGGTGGGCACAATAGTGTTATTTTCTGTGTTGCTTTTGTCCTATTATATAAATATGCACATGTTGTTGCAGTTTATGCTTTCGTAAATGGTATACACCACATAGCAGAATTTTGGAATGGGCTCTGCTACACGGGAACTTTGGAGATTGTGATGAGAACCATTTTCTCTATGAGCACAAGACTTTGAAATTTGTCATCAAGCTTAAATTGTCACAAAATGAGAGTTACAGCAAAAGAGGATCTATAAAGCTTTCTTAAACCTAAATCATTTCTTTATATAGAAACTGACAGCTACAAAAATGAGATTTTTATTTTACAGCTCAGTAGTAACTGTCTAAATTATAAAGCATGCCATTTTTTGCAATGAAAAAAGGTTTAATGAGGATTTTCTTTTTAACAACTTTAATTGGAATATAATTTACATACCATAGAATCCACCCAATTAAATAAAGTACATAGGTCAGTGGTTTTAAATACATTTACAGAGCTGTGTGACTGTTACCACTAATATTCTGGTTTCAGAATATTATCATCACCCCAAAAAGAAACCCCAGACCCATTAGCAGTCAACCTCTTCCCTCTTCCTCCTCCCAGCTCCTGGCAGTCACTAATCTACTTTCTGTCTCTAGGGATTTGCCCATTCTAGAATTTTATATAAATGGAATCTTATGATAATGTAGTCTTTTGTGATTGGCTTCTTTCACTTAGCCTAATGTTTTCAAGGTTCATCCATGTTGTGGCATTGATGAATATATCATTTCTTTTTATTGCCAAATAAGATTCTCTAGTATGGCTATACCATAGTTCTTGTGCATTTGGATTGTTTTCACTCTTTGGTTACTGTGAATAATACTGCTATGAATATTTGTATATGAGTTTATGTGGATACATGTTTTTATATGCCTAGTACAATTGCTTGGTGTATTGTAATTCTATTTTATATTCAGTAGGTTTTAAAAATATTTTTCTTTAGGGTCTTTGTTATTTTTCTTCCTGTTGAAAGCTATTAACTTTTAAAACAAAGGAATTTAAATTTGTTGAGATAAACAGTGCTCTGTACTTTAGATTCCATGCTGGTCAAAACAAAACCCTTTAAAAAGCTGAAAATGAAGTTAATGGCCTAACTCATACTGCTCCTCAGAAAGTCAGTGCTCTTTGGCTGGACTTGACATTACACTGTTTTGATCTTTGAAAGGCTAAGTGGTATTTTTTTCTCAGAGTTACACCAGTAAGTAAACAAAACTGTACTATCCCAAACTGTTTCAAGTGTATGAACAGTGATAAATAAGATTCGTTTTATTGGAGTACAGTGGTATGAAGGTGCTGACTGTTCTAACCCACCCTTTTTACAGATAATATTCATGACTAATGCTTGGGTGGCTACTTGTATAGCAGGCGCTATTCAGACAAATGTTGCTTTTGCCTCTGTGGGAAGAAAAGAGAACACACCCTGCATGGGTACCCTCAGAAGGGGAAGGAAAAAACTCACATCCTTGAATTCAAATGCATCTATTACTTAGTCTTCCATTTTAATATTGTGATTAGTGTCATTGAATGCAATCTGGCATTTGGCTCCAGACCCTTTGCTTTCTGATGAGAGCTGTATCTATCCCAATGTATCTTATCGACTAGAAAGAAAAAAAACACATTTTTTTTTAAAAAAGAGGTCTTTCTTCTTTCAACCCTTTTCTCATTTTTCCTCTAGTTTTAATTGAGAGGAATAATATTCTTCTGGTTGGTCTGCTTGCCTCATTTTACAGATTAAAAAAATAGATCCCTGGAGAATCAACTTTGACTAACTCAAGGTCAACCTCAACTGCATTTGATTTTTAACCTAGGATTTACACAACAAAGCAATTCTTCCTTGACTTTTAACCTGGTGGAGATTGATGATTGGTGGAGATATTTTAAAGAGCCTCAGAATCATGTAATTTGTCTCTGGCTAGGAGATACCGATGCCTTCTGCTTTGTGTCTGCTTCTGCCTTGTATAGTTGGGGAAAGCATATGTCAATGAGATTTTCAGGTTTTTAAGATTTTTAGGTCTAAACAGTGAAAGTTTTTGTGTTCACAGCATTGTTATAAGGCTGTGAAACCTGACAACCTATTTCTTTTCACTGTTACTCTGCTAAACATGCCCTGTTTGCTGTGAATTGAAAGGATAAAGCATGGCCACATACTTTAATGTTTCCCATTTAACTCTTTATGTACTTGCATTCATTGTATAGATTTTCACTGGGTTAGGAAAGAGCGCAGAGTTCTGCAAACTTTTTTTGTAAAGGACAGAGAGTAAATATTTTAGCCTTTGTGGGATGTACAGTCTTTGTCACAGCTAGTCAACTTTGCTGTTACAGTGTGAAAGCAGCCGTAGCTAATATATAAATGAATGAGTGACTGCTTCAGTAAAACTTTATGTACACCAAAATTTGAATTTCATATATTGTTCACATGCCATGAAATAGTCTTCTTGTGAATATTTTTTCTAACCATTGAAAAATGTAAAATCCACTCTTAGTTTTTTTCATGGGCTATATAAAAACAAGTGATGGGCCACTGGCAGTAGTGTGTGAACCCTTTGCCTAAAAAGTATTTGTATAATGGTAGATGAAAAGAAAAAGAAAACAAGTGGATTTCTTCTTTTCTTTGAAAATTGTTTTGTTGTGAAACCTCTAATTATTAAGCTACAGGTTGCTGAACAAGCTTTTGACAACGTCTCTAGAGTTGTTTCCTTATCTCGATTCATCTTTTAGCGCTAACTTTCTAGAGTCTGTGTTTTCATTCTGAAAAGGGTTAATTGATCTAAAAGGGTTAATTGTGATTATAGTTGAGGAAGAAATGGCATTTGTTTAATATTATTTAATTTGGTCTTTCTGACACATGCCCTGTCTGTGTTTTGGCCTTGGGAATAATAGGCCAGTCATTGCTTCATTGAATCATTGTTTCATTGAATCATCCTCTCCAAATGTAAACCAGAACAAATTCTTGTAACTTATGCTTTGCTACTTGAAAACCAGGACAATGGTAAATTTATGGCAGTTTTCTAGCAAATGTAAATAATCTATTTAAATTCTTATGGAGATCATCCTGTTTGGAGCCTTCTTTAAATATATAATTGTCAGAGCATAGGGTTCTCTGACCAAGAGTGGCACTATCAAGGATTTAAAGAAAAAGGCTACAGTTGGGCTTCTGTTTTATTAGTTCATTGACTGACATCTGTCATATAAATTGAGGAGTAATTTTCTTTCCTTAACTTGCTTGACACTTGTAAATTGTAAATAAGACCTTAGTTTAAAGGTTAAATGCTGGCCAGGCACGGTGACTCAAACCTATAATCCCAGCACTTTGGGAGGCCAAGGCAAGAGTATTGCCTGAGCCTGCGAATTTGAGACCAGCCTGGGCAACATGGTGAGACCTTGTCTCTACAATAAAAAAAAAAAAATTTTTTTAATTAGCTGGGTGTGGTAGGGCGCGCCTATAGTGTCAGCTACTTGGAAGGCTGAGGTGGAAGGATCGCCTGAGCCCAAGCATGTTGATGCTGTGGTGGTCAGGAGTATGCCACTGCACTCCAGCCTAGGTGACATAGTGAGACTGACTCAAAAAAAAAAAAAAAAAAAAGTTTAAATGCTGAAAAACATGGTTCATTAAGGAAGTAGGTGATATCAACATTTATGTTTGCTTATATTCTGAGAGAAAACACATTTGTGAATTAAATACTGCAGATTTTTTGATAGTTTTCACTGGTATTTCTTTACTAGGTTGAAAATCTTCACAATTTTGGAGACAAAGTTATTAATTTACATATAATATGTTTCATTCTATTAATTATTTTATGGTGGTTGTTTGTTGAGTATTGCCAGTTTTAATACTCATTACAATTTAATATTCAATGTTGTCTCCTTATGCATGCTTTACTAGTTTCAAGTTTCTCAGATGACCTTTTGTTGTCTTCTCTTTTCCCCTCAGTGAGTTAATACATATCAATTACTTAGAACAGAGCCTGGCACACAGTAAGTACAGCCTAGAATTGTTATTAGTTTTGTAACTGTAGATTTTAGTAGCCTGTTCACTTATTTAGGTGACCAGTAGAATATGGTGGTTCAGACTCAGTTGCTCCTTCTTGAAAATATTACACAAGCTTCAGGAATAATATCATACAGTAATTTAAAGTTGGAAGATGTGGACATTGCTTTACTTTTGAGATTTTTGCTTTATAGGAGGAGAAATGGATTCAGAATGGTTAAATGACTTACCTTGTTTCACCTAGTTAACTGTCAGCTGGACTAGATCCCACCTTTTGTGCTAGTAATGTTTCCACTATACTGTTGTTTCCTGAAGACTCATCCTAAGGGTACACCCAGGACTTCTGAGAGTGTACCCTCACTTGGTTTAGGATGGGTTTTTGCTTTCTAAACAAGTATCCCTGAATGATTCTTATGCACACTAAAATTCTAAAACCTTTGCATTATATTCCCATGCTTTTGGTGATAGTTGGAGAACTTCCTTTGGCTATTTTGGGATCTTAGCTGATTCACTTTAAAATAAGTCTCATGTTCTTATTATGATCTGTTTAGTTGCAGCTAAATACCACGAAGATGGTGTTTGTCCAAAGAGCTTGTTTTTGGTACAGAAATTACTAAGATTTTCCAGACCTGTCTTTTATTTCCTAAAGAATGATATGGAAAGGTATTGAGACAGTTGCAGGAGATGACACTGAATTCTCAAGTTCAGAAGAGAAAGCTTTATTCTCTTGAGAGTATGCCCTAGTGCTGCAAATCAATATTCTCCATGTGTTGTAGGATCTTTTCAAGGTATGGCCAAGTTCATTAGAAAGGCGCTTGCCTCCCTGTGGTTATCTGTTCATTGAGGCATCTCTGTAATAATTCTTTTTCTGAATGTTCATTGATTAAT